CAGACAGGCAATGGAGAGAAGTTAACGTGAAGGGACTATGTGGTACGGGGCAGGGGAAGAGCAAGTGCAACAGGAGAGCACAACAGAATGATCCAGCTTGGACTCAACTGGCCTCCTGCTATGCTGTAATGACATCGATTTGAACGCAGGGGTTTGGGGGTGGGAGTGGGAGGGCACACTGACTGGATCACCGAGAGGTCCATGACAGGCTGGAACAGCACTCACCTTGTTGTAGGGCTGTGTGCAGACCACTTTAACACGATCCCATTTCTTAGCCAGGGTGGCTTTGGCCAGCTTGTCAGGGCCAAACATGCGGACCCTGTTGAGGGGTGTCCCATTCCGGCTCTCCGTTGGAGACATGAAGAACGAGGATACGAGGATGACCTGGGAGGTGGCAAAGGCAAGGTTTCACTCAGTAAGGGGGCTGCAGCAAACACCTGAACGGACTGTGCAATACGGGAGACGGAGCAGGCCATTCAGCCCATCGTGCCTGCTCCACCATTCAACTGGATCACAGCTGAACATTGATACAGAGTTGCATCTCTCTAGCATCTTTCATCTGATGAGTTCAACATGGAGCCGTCAGACAGTAGTTACTATTGTGTAGGACACACAGTAGTCAATTTGTGCATAACAATATACTACAAACAGATAGTAACACCGACCGAAGTGATATATGACTGTGCGTGTATGTGTTAATGACAGAGAACCAGTAACACTTTACCTTGATGACTTGTCATGCGTACTATTGGTTAAAGGTTAAATATTGTCTTGAAGAAGAATTCCCACACACACTCCTCCCAAACCTCATCCACTTGCAGCTCTCGTCCCAATTATAGGGTGGGATACCTTTTACAATAATCTGAGATGGCAGACAGGCCACAGGTTTAAAGGGACTCCAAATGACAGCATTATCCAGTGCTCCCTCAGCGCTGACCCTCAAATGGTACGGCACTCCCTCAGCACCGACCCTCCGACGGCGCGGCGCTCCCTCAGCACCGACCCTCCGACCGTGCGGCGCCCCCTCAGCACCGACCCTCCGACCGGGCGGCGCCCCCTCA